CTGTAAGCTAAAACCTAAACCCTCAATTCCTAAACTAAACACTAAAGCCCGAACTAAACCATAATCCCTCAACTGAACCGTAAACCCTAAACTCCTAATTAAACTAAACACTGTACCCTAAATTAGACCCTAAACCCTAAATCCCCAAACTAAACACTAAATGTGCAAAGGCCGAGCCGCGAGAATCAGGCGTTGGGGCTCCACTCCCTCCCGGACGCGCCAGAGGCCCTTGCCTCGCTTGGATTTAAAGGTATATCATAGTACATGCTATAGCATATATATATATATACAAACAAACAAGCCAAATAAACAAATAGATATGTAGATGTATAAATGTATTTGTTTGCTATATATCTGATTTATCTATTTATGTATTTGTTGATGTATTTGTTTATTTACCCATGACAGTATATTTTGGTGTAATATCGCGGGTAGGAAGCTCAGGGCACCCCAAATGTTCACTCACCTTTTGCTCTAAGGAGCCCTATAGCTTTACCTACGGCTTTAGGCAGGAACTTCTTCGAGGCTTTGGGGGTTTTAGTGTTCCGGCTTCGCAGCAGGGATAGGAGCTGTTTTTTCCAGGGCTTGGGAAATGGTGAACACATGACCCAACCCTTGCAACCAACATCTGAGGCGTTACACCCGAACTCCCGGGTTTCGTACATGTCCTTTCTGTTTGCCCGTATCTGCCCAAGCCCCCAGAAAATCACAGAACAAGTGGGTGGTTTGTCAAAACTATGGTGCCTTTTTGGGTCCTTAATATAATGCGGCACCTAATATCTAGGGTACCCAAAAAGGGACCGTAATTATGGCAACTACCCAACTGGAGAGTCCGAGCCCTCCCCAGATTCAGATGCTGCCCTGCCGCTCGTAAGGCATAGGAGCCAGAAGACGCCACCCTCCGAAGCAATGCAGAAGTGGTCCCGGTCCACGATATTCGTGAAGCCCTTCCTGGGCCAGGGAAGTTGATGCGGTGCTATCGGGCCCACACGCTTCGATGACGGCGCTTGAGGTACACCTCATTTCGCTTCCGAGGTGATGCCGGAAAAACTGGGGTCGGCGTAGGGCCTGGCACTGTCACATACCCAACAAGAGAATGAAACGCTGACGGAAAGAATCCAAGGGTGTGGCAGTGCATTGGAGCCCGTGCGTGCTCCGTCCTTCCCTCTGCTGTCGGGGCTGAGCTCTTCAAAAGTTCAGGGGTTCGGAAAGGGGTGGGCTTAGGGGTTTAAACAAGGGATTAGGTAGAGAAGGCTCCAAGAAGGGATGGTGCAAGCTCTGCACCCGAAGACACATGTCGCTCTGTCCTCACGCCTCAAACCTCGTGCGCAGGGAACGGGGCCGGAGAAGCAGCTCATTTAGGCTAGGAAAGAGACTGGAAGGCACTCGGAAGCCTCAACAGCCTCATAATATAGGGGCCTTGATAATCATAATACGGAACCCCCCAACATCGTATAGGTAATTAAGGCCCCTATATTAGCCTAACCTGCGGGCCGGCGTCAGCGCCGCGTCGTTGGCGATGTGCGGCTGGTGGCGCGAGCCTACAAGGAGCCTTGTGTCGGGGAGACATTGCTAACCTAGCCATTTCAGGGTGACTAGTGTCTTGGCTAGAGAGCTTAATATCCGGGCCTTCATAATTAGAATACGGTTTCGGGCCCCATTATACTACAATGATAATAAGGAGCCCCAAACTAGCATTGGTTATCATTCAGGCCCCTTTAGTCGGGTCTTGGCTAGAGAGCTGAGTGCACCAGAAGTCTTGGCTAGATTCCAGCGAGAGAAGACAGTGACACCCACGGGAAAAGAGGCTTAGCTCAGGGAAAGATCTTGCCAGGATTAAAGCAATGTCGAACCTGATTAAGAAAGCCTGGCTCTATGACCTCAAAATACTAGGTTTCATACATACAAACCCAGAGTTTCTTCATCAGGTTCCTATACTAGTCGGGTCGGGGAGGGATCTTGAGCAACTGAGCCTTGACGAATTACCTCACGAACAAGCAAAATTCTCCAAATAGCTGGTGTGAGGCGTGTGAGTTCTGCAAACACAACCTGGCCAAAGAAGAGCCCACAACTTGTCAGGCAAAACCAAGCAAACTACAATCAGCATTTCCGCGCCCGAACCCACAAGTATGAAAGAACGGAGCTGCTGCACATGCGTATACATACATATATATATATATATATATATATATACACACATGTATAGATCAACGAATACGGTAAGACTAGCAAGGGTTAACTCTCTTATGCAAAGATCCTCTGTTCAGGTTAAAGTGATGTTGGTAAAGGGCTAGATAACAAAGGTCCCTAAATCTACGGTAGGAACATGTATAAAGCCCTCCAAAAGCCTTTGAAACGTACATCATCTAGGAACCCCTATTGTAACCCTTAAAGCAGGCTTCATAGTCGCCCCTGCTACCGATACAGTAGCCCATACACCAGCCGCCAAGAAGCGGCTTCCCTGCCAGGGACACAGGTCCGATGCTCCGCCTTTCCATGCCCAGGTTCGCCACCTGCAGAATCCAGGCTCGGGGTTGATGGTCTTAAGTTCTGTATCGTGCAAGACTTAGGATTTAGGTTTCAGTGTCTTGTGGGGTTTCGGGCTGTATCTGTAGGGCTTATGGATGGTTTACGAAGTTTAGGGCTTGTAGTTTACGACCCAGAGAATGGAATGGGAACGAGGGCTTTTGGGTGGGGCGGGGGGGGGGGGGGGGGGGGGGGGGGAGATATACCACTGAAGATATGGTATGGCCCGCCTGGTCTCCCCAAAGCTCCAGACACACCACAGGCGGTGCGACAGCGTTGGCGGCACTAGTGCCGCTGGTTGCAGCAACGGTACTTCGTGGCGCAGCCTCGACAGGATCACCAGCTTCGGGGCCCAAAAACTGACAGCTTTCATCTTGAAGGGGATTCCAAGAACCAAAACAGTTGACATTCCCCAACTTGGTTAAAATTAACTGCGCAGTTCCGCTTGCTTCAGGCTTCCCGGTGTCGATTTCGACTTTCCGGACGCACGAATTACATTGAGATACAGGGATTGAGGGACTTCAGAGGTCGCGCATCCACAGGGATTGGGTGCAATGCGCTTTAGATTCGGTGTTATCCCTGGGCTCAGCACCTGAGCTTGAAGAGTAGACAGGATCGCCTCTTGAGGAATGAGGCTGGTAGGTATGGTTTGGAGACTGCCCCACTCAGTCACTCTGCAACAGTTGGAGAATGTTTATGGTATACTTATTTTCTTGCATATATGAATGTGCATATATATATATATATATATATATGTGCATACATACATATTCATTCAAACCTCTGTAAGCGGATATGTATGATCATACGAACATATACATATATGTACACACAGAGAGAGAAAGAGAGAGAGAGAGAGAGAGAGATGGAGATACGGATATAGAGACCGTAATGGATGGTCCCTAGAGAGGCAAGTTGGGTCACCTTAACCCTGAATAACCTACCTTTTTAGGGTTCCTGATTATGATTTCCTTATATAAGTCCTTAAAAAGGTAGGTTATTCCGGGTTGAGGCAGGGCTTAGCCTCGCTTGGGCTTGGACTATCGGGCTTCGGCTGAGGCATCAGCATGTAGGACTCCCTTTTTAGACAGCTTGGGGGGTTGAGGGTTTAGAGTGTCGCAATGAGCCGAGGGAGTCTTGCAGGTTTCAAGCTGGACTTGCAGGAAGTGCTTGGACACTGCCTGCCTGCGCCTGCGCCTGCGGGACGCCTGGAATGCTGGTGCGGAACTCCATGTCCTGCGCATAGCTCGGCTGACTTTGGACCTTTACAGTCTTCTCACCCGATCGACGTACACCTAAACCCCCCAAAGTAGATAAAAAAATGGCCCAATACCCTGAAAGGATATTATTCTACGTACTTTTGGGGTCCAGGTAGGAAGTAGTTAAGTAGTTGGTGCACGGGCTGGAATCAGCAATCAGACGACAGTCTGTCGTCGTGCTTGCAATACTTCAGCTACCGAGGACGTACCGCTAGGGCCCAGAACGGCCGGAGTCCAAAGGCGAGAAGGCCCAGATGTCTAGGTACAGTCATGGTGTACATGTTATTCTGATCATCAGCTTTATCATGTTGTATTATTTGTAGTATTTTTGGTTTTAATATTACAAGCCAACATATACACATATGAGATCGGTCAGTCTTGTCCTTGCAGTGGACCCTCGACATGCGGGTCAGCTCGATACAGATGCAACTGGCGAAGCAAGGCTTATGCTAAACCCCATGTTTCGAAAAACTCAGACCTTCAACCCTGCAAGCTCGAAATAACGAATTCGGTCCTCGATGAAGGAGCCTGTGAAGGACGGATTGCTCCGGTCCTGGGAACTCTTAGGGTTGCAAGCTTAGCCTCGGTGTTTAGAGTTCAGGGTTTGGGGTTTAGGGTTCAGGGTCTTAAGGCCTGGGGCTTTCGGACTTTAGGCGGACATCAGGTCTAGGACTTTCATCCACCGTTTCGGGTGGGGTTTTGGGCTTCACTAGTCTAATTTTGAGGTATGAAACCCCTTATTCAAGGTGATGAAGCCCCGGTAGTATGTGGGAAACCCCTGTTCTAGTTAAGACGGCCCACACATTCATATAAACCAAGCAATAAGGCCCGTACATTCCTACAACAAAACCCTCTCAAAGCAGGCCCCTAGGTATGTCTCTACAAGCCTTATTTCTACCTCTACGGCCCCTGTATCAGGGCGTGCCAAGACACCCGCGTTCGTCGGGTGCTGGCACCCCTTACCGAGGCCTGTCCCGATACCGGAGTTCCTGGGCTCAGGATCTGGAGTCTCGAAGGCTTGATGGGGTTTAGGGTCTAGGATTCAGCGGCTCAGGGTCTGTTGTCTCTAGGGTTTATGGGTTAGCGTTCCGGGGTTCAGAATTTATGGCAATTTGGAGGTTCAGGCGCCTTGAACCATCTTTGCTGTTCTCCTAGGCCGACAGGGAGTAGTTGCATAGTAACAGTGCTGCATCGAGCTTCTAATTGCAAGCGCTTGCGGCCCGTTCTGCGCCAAACCTGCAATTCCTGCAGCCAGTCTCCAGTTTAGAACTGAATCCTGCTATGGGTCGCCCATGCTCTCGAGCGACGTTGGGATGTGCTGAGATCTAACCCAAACCGAAAGTCCGGGTCCAAAATCGAACTCAAACGCCTCGACAAAAAAGACACCTAATTCCCGATACCCAGAAACTCAGAGACTAATCCTTAAACCTCAGCAGAAGGTTTTTTCAGAGGCAGGAAGCCGGACTGCGCAGCATGCGGGTAGCCACTGCTGGGTCCTACACGAGGCATACATGATGTGGGATTTGTGGTTTACCTGCAGGTAGTGTTGGATAAAGGGTTTGGGATTTAGGATACGTTTCGGCTTCAGGGCTTCGCAAGCTCCTTTTCTCTCCAGGTTCGGATGCCAACTTTGATAATGCACCTCCTGCACAATCTGTGGCTACACTCCGGTCTGTAAGACCCGAAACCATTTTGGTCATGCAAGAGCCGCGGGATCAAGCCTACCGACACCTTCGAACCTTTCCATCAGCTTTCGGGTTGAGTCTCTGCATTCCGACTGAACGGTACCGCGTTTGAATGTAAGTCATGCCATAAGGTCTATGTAATCCAAGGGGATGAAAGCAATCGCGACAAGTCACCTCGGGTTCCGAGGTTCCTACCGCGGTTGACACGGTGCTGGGCAGGTATTTTGGAACAAAGGACTCTAGCGGGAGCCTACATGCAGAAACATGCTCAAACATCTGCGGCTTTGAACCAGTGGGTTCTCATCCCGATCTCTCAAGTAACATATATCCGTAACTTAGAACTTGGAGCATGCGAACACAGCCCGTGTTCTGAAATACGTAGTGAAAGCATGCCAGGAAGTACACGCAAAGAGTATGGTTCAGTAGGGTGACACACAGCGCTGCATCTGTATGAGCTAGACGGTCCCCCCTTTCGTACAAACTGACTCACTCGAAAACATGCATGCATATTGCAACTCCAGTTCCATACCTGATAAACAAATAATATAAGGGCCTCAATAACTTGAATAGGGTTTTGGGGCCCACTATACTCCAATTGCAACAAGTATAGGCAGTTATTTAGGCTCTCATGTTACGCAGCCATGCAATACCAGTGGTATGCAAAAACACAGGCCTCGGGATCGGCCCGTCTGTAAACAAACCCGGGAAGAAGCAAACGAGACCATCCTGGACCCCCAAAGTATGTAGAATCAAGGCGCTTTTGTGGGTATTGGGCCATAATTTTGCCTACTTTGGGGGTTTTAGGATTTCGTTTATGCACGTAGGATGGCTTTCAATCTGAGAACACTCACGCCCAAACGAAAACCCTGCGCCCTACATCCAACACCAAACGAAGCGAAAAGCTGATTTAACACTCGACGCTAAACCCACAACTTAAATCCTAAACCAAAACAGTGCTACAGACTCTAAATCGCGAACTGTATCTCTGGAACAGTCCGGAATTCCGCTGCGCCACGGCTGGTGAGGCCGGAACGATTGGCGCCCGGTTCTGCGGGGAAGCGCCCGCCCTGCTCTGCGGGGAGGAGGGCTGGGCGATGTAGCTGCGAAGGCTCCTCGGGCTCTGGGTTTCGGGCTGGGGTTTAGGGTGCATAGGGATTGAGCTTTGGCGCCACAGGTAGCGCGGGACTTAAGCTCGTGGGAAGGCATCGTGAGGCAGCCGAGTTGGTAGGATCCTGGGGTAAGGCCCCCAATTATATATATATATATATATATATATATATATGTACATATATATATATATATATAGATATATATATGTGTATATTTATATATATATATATACACGTTGTACAATGACTGGTTTAATGGAGTCTCTGATGCTCCTGCATGTGTCTAATCAACATGTTAATAATCTTAAGAAGCATGCTCTATAACCCTCTGTATGTCTCTAAAGGCAAAGGCTCATGCTGCCCTTGACGGACATGTCGTGGAAGCGGAAGCGGACCAGCAGCTGCTTGCCGTAGAGCAAACCGATCTCCGAGCCGTGCTGCAGCACGTAGGGTGTCTTCACCGCCACCACCTAGCGACTACGTAGGCTCCATAGTATGCCATAGTAGTTCGTTTTTGGGGTTCATTGTTTTAGTCCTATAAGATGATCCCAAAAAGGAACTACTATGAAGCCTATGGGTAGCGACTAGCGACTCAACAGACTTTGGGTTTAGGCCTTGTCTTGAAACGTCAGGAATCTCATGGTTTCTGGTACATCTGTTCCCGAATAAATCTGCAAAAATCTACATATACGAATAAAGCTATATATTTGTCTACATTAATCTATAGGCTTAGGGTCTTGAGCTTTTGATGGTTCTTGCTTGAAGAGTTTGGGGTTCAGGCATGTAGGCTTCGTCTTTTCGTGTTTCGAGGGTTTGAAAACAAGGTGGTGTGTTCAAAAGATTGAGCCTTCGGGTCGAGAAAGCAGTGCTTTGTTGTCCAAAACGAAACCCCATTTAAATTCCGTAAACCTTATAAACATTAAACCCCGGCGCTAAGACCCTAAACGCTAAACTCTCCCCCTCTTCCCCTGAAGCCCCGCCTGGCCCTCCACAGACACCGGGCCGCTTCCCAGCGCGGTAAGGCACGGCGGGATGGGATCCCGAGTCTCCCTAAGCCTTGCGGAAGGTTTAATCTTGTAAGCTCCTTTTTCCGACGGTTTAGGGTTTGGGTTTAGGTTGTAGGGTTTGGGGTTTCATAGGGTTTTGGGGATTTCCGGTTCGGGTTGATTTTTCGGATTTATGGAAACTGTTAGGGTTTGGGCGCCAAAAGCTGTCAGCGAAACGATTTTTTGCGACTCCAACCATTTTTTGAGGCTGTGGGGCCTAAATTTGCAGGTACGGCGAGAGTAGATCCCAAGCTATGGCTCTTTGGCTCAGGCTCAAAGCTCCATTGGCTCCGGAATCGGTATGCACACGGCAACAAAAGGCTGCGCAGCTTGAAAAGCTGCCCAAGTCTTTGGGTGCTATCGGCTTGGGATTGGGAGATCCTCAAAACAAACCCCTTGGTCTGGCGAGAAGAAATGTAGGAGTTGTTATTCAGAGTGTGCCGGCGTGATTGCCCAAACGTCTGTAGGGCGCCGTAGGGCTCCTTTTTCAGTGTCGAAATACGTCCCACTGGCAGAGACTAACAAATACTTGGACCCTTGGGCATAAAGGTAAGCGTCCATATACCTACTAGTATGGCCCTACAAGTAAATCCCTAAACCCTGCACACCCTAGCCTTCTTATCGCAAACCCCAATATTGCATTTACAGGGACCCTACGCAAAGCCGGTTTTGGTACTGAAGCTGTAGCTCAAAGTGATGACAAAAACATGGCGTCACTCTAAAATTTAAACATCCCTAAACCTCCCTAAACGTCCCGAAGCCCTGCAATACTGGTAAGGATTGGGTACTGGCCCCCATACAGTAGCACTCTACAATAGGGCTACTACTAAGGTCCTAATATGTCTATATTATTAATATTCTCCAACTGAGTGGGGGCAGTACCCAAGGTAAGGATGTCCCAGGTGCCAGGAGATCTCGAAAGCATTCCGCGACACGCAGGTGCGTATCCGAGCATCCGGCAGCCAGGCCTCTGATCTCGTCTTATCCGGGTTTCGAGTCGCTCCTAAGGATTTACCGGGGTTTACAAGGGTTTGGTTTAGGGTTTAGGGTTTAGGATTGTAAGCAAGGGCTTAGGATTTACCGGCTTAGGATGGCTTAGGTTTCAAAAAAACGCCCATTTTCCTTGCATATGAACACTCGGGGAACGGCCAGTCGGCCGATGGGGTCCCTGCTAGAACGTATTTGGATTTGCAAAGGTTTCCCGGGAACCCGGACGGTAGCAACTTTTTGTGACAACCTTGTCCGTTAAAGTTAGGGTCTCACAAAGACGGAAACTGATGTACCCGAACACAACTCTTACAATCCAGGGTCTACTCAGTGTTGCGGTAGAGGATTCAGGGTCCAACAGCGTCTGACGTCAAGTGTTCATAGGACCCTGGCTTTCGGTTTATGCGCAGTGCGCTTAAGGTTTGGGTCCTCCACCTATCCCAACGTCCCGGAAACATATATGTGGAGTATTCGACAGGATGGGCTCACTCCGGCCTCAAAGAGCTCTGCCTGCTGCCCTCGGCCCACCGCCGCGATGCACGCACTCCCCTGCGCAGGACGGGTGTCAGACGAGCAGGGATGGAGTCCGGAATCTTGCGGCACTGCTTTGGGCTGGCGGGTCTAGGAAGTTGAAGATGTGCATTTGCCTGCTAATCCTGAATCCCAAAGCCACGAAAAGCATCAAGCCCTGAGCGGCTAGAATCTCTACAAGATTCCAAGTTCGGGGGTGTGGCAGGGCAAGTGTCCGCGCACTTGGGCCGCCATCACAGTAATTAAACCGCTTCTCAGTGAGGGTGCCGAACAGGGAGCATAACTCAGCACAACCCATGTAGAGCTAGAGCCTCAATGGGCTTAGGATTGAGGCAGAGATTCTGTTTTTCTGAAATCTGAACTTGCATCGGCATGTTGGCCTTTGGTCAGTGCTTGGTTTGTCTAGTGTCCTTTCCAGAGCCTGTCTCTAGAGTGGACCCTACAGGGTTGACAAGTATGGCCACATTCCCCACCCGGCACGGCCCTTCGTCTTGCCTCGATTCGGGGCTTCAGCGGCAGAAAGCCTAGGGAGAAGATCAATGAGGGACTATTATAAGGCTTTAGATTTGGGGTTTTGAGGATCAGAGATTAAGGTGCTTAGGGTTTGCCTGTAAGGATTATAGGGTGGCTAGAGCTCAGAGCTTCATCTGAGCCTATAGAACTTAGCTCCGCCACGCTGAGGGTTTCGGGAGCTTTGGGCTTCTCGTGGCTACGAAAACGACCCCGAAGGCTCATGCCGAATACTCCGAATAGCCCAGGGCCGGTATCGATTAGCGTCTTAAGGCTTTGGGCTTAGGGTTGATAAGGGTTGAGGGCTTCTGGGGTTTTGGGATACTTGGAGTCTGCATGCTATTCTGGCCCAGCTCAAGCTCTTTGGATTACGAGGGTCAGGAACCAAAACTTGAGATGCAAAACCCTGAGCCACGAACCAGAGCAACAATCGCAAAGGTTTCTATGTAGAGCTCGTAGTTAAGGGCTGCGGGCCCTAAACATGAACCCTAAGCCCGAAAAGTCCAAGTTTCGCTGCTCGTCCGAGAGTTCCACGAAGGCCCCCGTCGCCAAGGTCAGCTCAAGCAAGTAAGGGTACTCCTCCCAGGGGAGGGGAGTTACCGAAAACAGGGGACCCTAATAGAGTACCCTAAGTAGGAGGATCCTCACAACAAGGCACCAAAATGTGTTCAGGCTCTCGGGTTTGTCTTGGGCTTTAGGCTCCCACAGCCGAAGCCAGCAAGACCCTGCAGCACTGAAGAATCTGCGGGTGCGAAATCCTGTAATGTCGCCAAATGCTGCCCAAAGCCTAAGCCCAAGCCCTCGAGCCGCCTCTCCTGAACCCTGACCGGGGATATAGTGCACGTAAGGCGACGTAAGGTGCATTACCTAGTATAGACTCGACTAGACTACCCCAAGGTCGTAACAGCCACCAGTAAGGTTTAACCCCTTAACCCTCCAAACTAAACCCTCTACCCGGCCCATGCTTGAAAGCTCCAAGACCATGAACCCCAAAGCCTTGCTCCTAACTGTCCAACCCGTAGGCCCTAGCCCCCTTAACCTTATTATTGCGAAATTCCGAAACCCCCAGATCCTTTTCCTTTTCGGAATATTGGGATTTGGACTTTAGGGTCCAGACTTTCAAGACCTATACAATTCAGAGTTTGGGGTCTAGGGTCTGCAATGGTCTGCAAAGTCTAAACTAGCATATTGGGCATAGGCGTATGCGCTAGAGCTCCGGCGGCTCACTGGTAGTCTCGGAGATGTCGGTGTCACTCACAAGAGCGGGCTGGCTGTCGATCTTTGCCACCTTCCGATCCAAAACTTGTTTGGAAGTCTCGGAGGGTTTAGGTTTAGGGATTTAGGGTTTGGGTTTAGGTTAAGTTAGGGTTTCGCGACCCGGAACCGAAAATAAGAGACGAGGGTTTTGACACTCAAGGGTTCTCATTTCTGGCCAGTTAGGGCTGCTGAAAAAACAGGAGTTCTCGAAGAGAAGTCTCGGCACTTGCTGCTATGACCAGGTATGTACATACAAACGTATACGGATAGATATGTAGATAGATAGGTCGGTAGATAGGCAGACTAGTATTAGATAGATAGACGATAGATAGGTAGATAGGTAGATAGATAGATAGGTAGATAGGTAGGTAGATAAGTAGGTATGTAGATACATAGGTAGGTAGATAGGTAGATGGGTAGAAAGGTAGAAAGGTAGGGTAGACAAAACTTTTAGATGGGCAGATGGTACACAGATAGATAGATGGATAAACGACCATCGACTATAGACTACATGTTAAGGAGGCTCGTTCGTGTTAGAGGGGACTCGGCGATGTTGAGACTGACATGGTAAACAACCTCAACAACCCCAAAACAAAGAAACACTCCAAACCCCCTCCCAAACTGAAATCGCCATACAGACACAAGGTCCCTCTTTATCGAGCTCTTACCAAAATATGAAGCATTGTGACACCTTTATGAAACCTGGAATACAAAACACAGAGCTCCTTGTAGGAACCCTTTGACCTCAAAGGAAGCCTTCAAGAAACAATCAAAGGAACAAGCCCTAAACCTTAAAAGCTTTGAGCCCTGAACCCCTTTGAGGCCCAAGCCCAAAACCCTAAACCCTGAGCCCTGAACCCTTAGCGCTAACGATCCCTCCCTTCTGAGCCTCGGCTTCCCTGCCCCGGGGCGGCAACGGAAGCACCGGCGTGGCTTGCACCTCAACGTGGCTGCACTCGTGGGGCTTTGGGGCTTTGGGGTTTAAGGTTTCGGGCCAGGGTTGATTTGGTTTAGGGCTTATAAAAATTTAAGATGCCCCGAAAGCCCTCTGCACCGTCACCGGCTTTTGCATCATCTGGTCCGCCGCGCTAGCCGGACGAACCCTCTGCGAGCCACCTTGCACCTGCGAGGGCTTTGGAGATTTGGGATTTGAGGTTTTAGGGTTCATGGTGCCCTGAGAGGAAGCAAAGCCACATGCCCGAAATGAAGCAGGATAACATGGAGGATAATGAAAAGGTCCTCACCAAACCCTAAACCCCTGACTTCGAAACCCGAGCCACAAACCTGAAACCTGAAACACTGGCTCCCCCTCAGCACCCCTCAATACCCAGAAGCCCACCTGCCTCGACCACTTGTCGCACCTCTGCCACCGGTGGCGCGCTGGCGCTTGTGAAGCTCGGCGGGAATCGCTCGGTCAGCGACCGAAGGGTTTTCACGATCTCTACCTCGGCGTCGGAGTTCTTTGGTTTCAGGGTTTAGGGTTCCCAAAAAATGCAGAGTGTTTTGTTGTGGGGGGAGGATGAGCTTCGGGCATTCGGGAATCATGTTTTGTTTGTAGACTTCTTCTCAGGAGTTTCGCGGGTGCTAAAGGTTGTATAATGATAATGCATAAGCACATGTACATAATACATGTGGCCAAGCAAGCTACGAAAGGTGGCCGTTGCCGATCGTCGTATGCACAAACACCGCGCACGGCGAGCGCGGCGATCTCACGTGCCACCTGCAAGGGTGTTGAAGGCTTCATCAGTGTATTGAACCCCAAACCCTTCAGGACTTGGCTGGCTAAGTAATGATGTTTCGTGTTTAGAGCTTGGGTTGTTGGGTCCTTTGGGCCGTGTGGCTGCTTCCAGCAGGCCGGAATGCAACGCGCACACGTCAAGCCCCGGATCGTCCCTAAATCCTACTGTACCTGGACCCGCAATAAGCTACCTTTTTAGGGTGCCATTTCGAACTTGTCTTCAGTTTAAGGGTTTGTGGTTTAAGGGGTAAGGATTTGGGCTGACGGCTATTTAGAGCAGGGCCTGCCAGAGAAACAGAGTTCCCAAAAGGCCAGAGCTGACACGCCCATGTGCATTACATATTATGCATCTGGAGAATAGGAGATCCTCAAAAACACGGCCTTCAAGAAAAGAAACTCTTCCGTCAGGTTCGGGAAACACCAAATCCATCTCGACAAAACTCGCGCTGCCAGCCTCCACCGGCCACCCAGCCTTCGCGTCCAAAGCGCGGAGACATCGCTCCTAGAGGGACAAGTGTTGGTTCGGCGTCCACAGGTCCTTAATGGTTCGATTTGAGAACCATTTAACAATCTGCAGACAGTTGCAGGCCCGATAAATAAGACCGTCCGCGTTTCCGGTCCCAAATACCCATTTTGGTAAACTGGTGACTCTCATGTACCATCGCTGCCACCAGGCCTCTGACCAATTCGTACAAGATTCCAGGTGACTCTCAAGCCCTCTGACCCCATCGACCTTCTTTCAACCCAACTCAACCTGCAAACCCATGCCCCTAAACCCTGAAACGTCTCCAAAACCCTGAACCCCTCACACTTCCGGAGCCTAGCCCCCGCCTCAGCGCCGGGGCGTGCAGGAGCCACGGTCTCGGTGATCGGATAGCTCAGCCCACCAGGGACCTGCAAAACCCGCGTGGTCTCTTTGCACTTCGAGGCTCGGTGAACCAGGCTTTCGGGTTTTGAGGTATGAGGGGTTCTAGGTTTCTTGTTATTGAACTCCTTTTCTCCCCGGGTTTTAGGGTTTAGGATGTAAGGTTGATGCCTGGATAGGCTTTAGTGATGCTGACAAGTATGCCAAGAAAGGGTGTAGGGTTTCGAGCTCAACCATCAGAAGCTTCAACTCTGAAATCCACTCTCCTAAACCTTCCCCGCCGAAGATCCGGAATGAGATACAACGGCCGGAGTATCGGACGCAGAAAGCCGGGCAGAAGTTTGGGCCATTGACATTTCAGTAAGATAAGTTGCAAGCACATCTCGTGTATGTGAACATGTATGTGTGTGCGGGGGGGGGGGGGGGCATGTGTATATGCGTGTATATACATATAGACCAGTTGACGGCCGATGCCTAACCGCGCATTACGACTTTCGGTGGCCTGACGGGTTTAAATCGCTGTCAGGAGCCTGTAGGGCCTTATCCCCTGTGCCCGATGCCTTGGAGTTGGACATGGAGGGATCCAGGCCCAGCAGAACCTCCAGCATCACCATGCAGAAGGAGTAGGCCTGGAGTACGCTTCCACACTCGCTGAGGGCTTTCTGAAAGCTAGCCCTAACTCCCTAACCAGTAAAATCCAGGTCGCTTGAAACCCCCGCACTCCTCACGTAAACCCCCAAAGTAGGTAAAATCATGGCCCAATACCCATAAAAGGCTATCATTCTACATACTTGTGGGGTGGCCCAGGCATGCTCTTTCGAAATATCACCGACGTGCCTCCGAAGCTTCGCTGACGCGACCCGTCTTCTCGTAGAGCCTCGAAGGAAGATTTTTGTGTTTGGGGCTTAGGGTGAGATGCTATACTGGATCCGTTATATATCCGCAGAGCTCGTAGGATTTGATTTCGATTAAGGATCTGGGAATTGAAGATGTTGATCCTTTTGTTCTCGGGATTTGTTCTTCTGAGGCATACGACTGAGGTTTGCTTGACGGGATTGCAGAAAGCCTCTGTAAACCAATTTTAAATCCTAAATGCTCTGAGCCCGGAACCCATAGAAGGCCCCCAACACAACATGCTGCGAAGAAACGGACAGCGGTAACCCGGCGTGCCGGAAGCGAAGCGCACATCCACATGGTCGGCGCCGGCGTGGCTGGAGGAGCAACTGAGCCTTACACGGAGGCCCCAAAATCCCTGAAGGAGGGGCTCCTAGGGCAAAGGGACATCTTCCTCAAAGATCCATGTAGGCTGTAGACGGCGGTTTTACACACACCCCCCTACGTCTAGTCGGAATTAGAACAGGAACCTGAAGATTGGGGGCGGGTCAAGAAAATCGGTTGATTGATCACGGATCTCCATAAACACTAAACCCTAAACCCTGAACCCTAAACCCTGCTCCCTAAACCCTGCACCCTAAACTTCATCCCTAAACCCTCCTCCGTAAGCCCTGAACCCTGAACCCCGCCCCCTAAATCCTAAACCCCACTCCTGAACTAGAGAGGATTCTCTGTTCAGGATCTTGAGCAATCGGATTTCGACTCACGGGTTCGTCAGGCCTTTAGTGGTTAGTTTAGGGGTTGTGGGGTTTGGGGCTTCGGGCCTACCTAAACCCCCCCAAAGTAGGTAACATTGGCCCAATACCCATAAAAGGCTATTATTCTATTTTGGGGTGCAGGTAGGGGTTGGTTGGGTTCAAGGTTTAGGAAGCTGTTCGCAAGGGAGCTGGACTTTAGGTGTATGTGCGTGAGTTGAGACAGTCACTGCTGGCTCAAAGCAGGGGAGTCTGCCCTGGAGTTCAGGGTTCAGAAGTTACGGCTCGGAGCTGATGGGTAGAGGAGCTGGGACTAAACCTGAGGGCCAAGCAACACACATCAGGCTATATGCCAAGCTCCGGACACAGAACCAGGCCGGTTTGGCAAACACTCTGCTAAGCCGCACACCTCAATCTCTAAAAGCCAAGCCCTAAAGCAACTCATCGAAGGCCGAAAGCCCAACCCTAAACCCGAAACCCGAAACCCCGAACCCCTGAACTCAAAACAACAGAAGGTCCCAGACGCCCAAAGTCAGCCATCTTGGCCGTTCCATGCCGATCCAGCCTGGGATGTGTTGCAGGGTTCCCTATAAAGAGTCAAAGGTTTCCTTGATGGGTTCTATAGGGGTTCCTTTAAGGGGCCCTTTAAGGGATCTATATGGGGTTCCTTTGTGGGCTCTATATATACCAAGAGGGTATAGTTAGAACTGGTTCCTTGAAAGGGTTAGGATTAAGGGTTTCGGGTTTAGGGTTCCTTGAAAGGGTCAAAGGCTTCCTTTTTCTTCACGGGTTCTATATACCAACAGAGGTGTCGTATAGGGAATTCATATTTTGGATGCGAACTTTGGCCCTGTGCCGAATCCGAAAGCAGGGAGCAGGATGTTCGCCGACTTGATGTCGCGGTGGAAGGCCTTCGCGGATGGATGACTAACGAGACTTTCGAGCTCGGTTCCAAATCCGGGAGACATGAACTGGGACCATGCAAAGCCTCCAAGGGAATAATCTCACGGCCCTGTTTTCTTGAGGCAGTCTCGGACTACAGAACAGGAGGGTTTAGATTTGATCCGAGCCCGGTCAAGTTTCGCTTTGAAACGTCTAGCGCGGCTGGGACTTGCTCCTTTTATGCGATGAGTGGCCTGCGAGGGTGGCAGGCAGTCTGCAGGAAAACTTGTCAGAACCCCAAAACCTCCCATCCTGGCCGTGAACCCTATAGAGTCCTCAACCCCAGAACCTTTGAAGGCTTTGGCATCACGGGGGCTCTTGCCTTGGGTGTCGAGTTGTGCATGTGCGAGAGCCCCGTGGCGGCATCGAGGCAGACAGATAAGCGCTCGTGCCACGGAAACGGGGTCGGGCTTTGCGATCCTCGGAAGCTCAAGCAGCAAGACTTGCGCGGCTAAGGGCTCTGATGTTGGAGTGGCTTGCCAGGTTCATGTGCGAGTTTAACACCCGGAACCCCGATAATACCCAACAGCCCTCCTACGAGTCGATTGCGATACAAAAGTAAGCGTTCTTCCCCCCTAGTGATGAAAGTGGCTCCTTTTGTCAATCCGAGGTGCTGCTCTTATGGAGCCGTCGGAAGAGGTCCCCACCAGACAGAAGCCTCGGCCCAAGGGTTCGAGGCTTTTAGGGTTTAGGGCCGTTTAGGGTGTAGTTGAGCGTGTAGGGTGTAGGCGGTTTAGGGTTCCGGGAATCCGAAGTACTTGTACGGCATTGCGGGTTTATAGTGACACGGTTTGCACTTCGGTTCAGGGCTGCAGGCAAGAGGAGCCCACCTTCCGACCCAGTGTCACGAAGCCTTCCACTCGACGAAAAGCTGCACAACCTGAAGCCCTGAACCATATACACCAAAGGCCCCAATGAGGGAACCCTCCACTGAGCACCCTGAACTTGGAACCCTAGACCCTAAACTCCCAACCCGAAACCGTGAGCCCTGAACTGCATTTTGAAGGTTCGATGCCTAAACTCTAGTCCTATCCGAGAAGCTCGTAGACTAAGTATCGGGAGCTGCCGTGGCTGCCCCAGCCCAGCAGTGTCACCAAGTTCGGGTGCCGGAACTTGCTAAGCATGATGACCTCGAGTTTAGGGTTTAGGATTTAGGGTTTAGGCTTAATACTGGGTTGGTCTTGGGTGTAAGGTTGTTTTTGGTTGAGCTCCTTTTTCCGCCTAAGGTACCGGGTGCAAGGTTTGAGGTTGAGGCTTATGCTTCATGTGTTCTTCGCTCCGTAACTGCCTTGGCGTCGTGGTAAACCTTAAACCTTGACCCCGATCCCTCAACCCTAAACTGAAGCCTCGTAAATTGTCCACCTCCGAGCCCTCAGAACCATCACTCCGACCCTTTTGAACCTTACAGCCTTACACCCTAATCGAGCTACTGGAGCAAGAACAGAAAGAAACCAGGCCTGAGCCCTTCAAAAGGGCGGTGCCCCCACGCCCTCTAATGAAACCATGCGAACCTTTTGTAAAACACGAGAAACTGAGGAAAAAAAAACCTAAACGACCAGTCATAAGAGACTCCACAATAAAGGCAAGGCCCTATAATTACTATATACAGCCTGAACCCTTCCCCGGCCTCCTCATCGAAGCCAGCGTCTTCTGGAGAGTCGCCAGCGCCGACGACCGCGGCCAAGTCGATCGCCTTCACGGCCACCTCCGCACGGGGCTGTCGCTCAAAGCGTTTCGATAAGAGTTTTAAGTTTAGGGTTTACAGTTTAGGGTTCAGGCAGATGAGAGGTCTGTAGTATGAGAATGTATCGCTCAGATGCTTTATCAAACATGTTTAATAAGGAGACTCGGTAAGTGTGTGATTTCTGCTAGAGAAGCTCCTTTGGTTGGGGATATGCAAAGTAAAACCCTACTTATCCTCCTGAGCCTCTCGGTATAGGGACTAGTCCTGTTGTGAGGCATCGGCGGTGAGAGCGGAAAGGATAAGAATGAGAAGTATTTACTCACAGTGAATCATAGCGAAATACCACGACTTTCACGACCAGTCGTCCCTAATAATCTTAAGCTGTCGTCACGGTCCCAAGCACCTTCCCGCACCCCTCAAGCTTGAACCCCGGAACCTCGCGGCCCAACCCCCCCGTTCACCCCTTCTCAGAAAACATAATCCAAAGGGATCAAAAAACTCTCTAATATAGGGGCTTAATAATTACCTATACTATTTTGTGGGTTCTATTCTACTTTTCAAGGCCCCTGTATTAATCAAATTTCGCTCTGAGCCCGGGTGTTCCAGGAACTGGCCTGAGAGCCATCCTTCAGCTCTGCCTCTCAGGGGCCGGAAAAGCGGGCGTGCTGGGTGTTTGGGGTTTGAGGTTTAGGATATAAGGTTTGGGGTTTAAGGTTTAGAGTTTAGAGTTTAGGGATTAGGGTTTAGGGTATAAGGTTTTGGGATTAAGGTTTAGGGTTCAGGGGTTAAGGTTAGGGTTTTCGGTTCGGTGTTTCTAGGGTAAACCAAAATTTTTTGAGGGCGGGGCAGGGGATTCTACAAACAGATAGATATAAACGTCGGCACAGAGCGTTAACGGTCGAGAGAGAGAGAGACAGACAGACAGACAGACAGACAGACAGACAGACAGACAGCCAGCCAGCCAGCCAGCCAGCCAGCCAGCCAGCCAGCCAGCCAGCCAGCCAGGCAGGCAGGCAGGCAGGCAGGCAGGCAGGCAGGCAGGCAGGCAGGCAGGCAGGCAGGCAGGCAGGCAGGCAGGCAGGCAGGCAGGCAGGCAGACAGACAGACAGACAGACAGACAGACAGAAAGAAAGAAAGAAAGAAAGAAAGAAAGAAAGAGCGGCGGGGAGAACAAGGGGATGAGACCGAGTGAGTGTGAGAGGAGAAGAGAGGGCGAGAGAGAGAGAGAGAGGGATCTCGCATGGATGCACATACATATGACACATACATTGTATGTACTGATGTATAAACAAAGCGAGATAGCCAGAACATAAGAGAGAGAAAGAGGGATTGAGAGAGACACAGAAACGGTGAAGGAAGATTATGTTAAAACATGCGGAGTTTGATCTTAGTCTTCGTTCAACACTTATCTCCCTGAGCCTTGAAAACAGAGCCATGCTTGCCGGAGCCCAGGCGGCGACTGGTGCTCCAGTTGTCCGTAGCTGCAGTAAGGTCTGCATGAGAATATTCCTTGGCTAGTTAGGGTTGATATTTCAAGTCGAGGGCTCAGGGCCTATAGGGTTCAGCGTTCAGGGTTAGGGTTTGCGTTTGGGTCTAGGGATCTATATCTGGGGCTTGGCATCTGGCCTGAGATGTCGGGTTTGAAGTCTAGTTCAGACATGATATGGGTTGAGGCACCACACAAACTTCTGCATCCCAAAACCCTGGGAAGCCTTTACAGCAATCTCTATGTTATACATGCGCTTTAGCTTTTGGGGGTTTAGGCTATAGGGCTCAGGGTTTTACAAGGGTATAGGGTTCATGGGCTGATTCCATCCAGTCTTTGCTTTGCTTCGCCAGGCTTCGAGGGACACGGCCCTAAGCTGCGAGGCAGCTGCTAGCCTCGAGGCTGCCTGTGTGGTGGAAGTCGCCATCCGCGCCTCTGGGGTTCAGCATTCAGGGTCTGGGATGTTAAAGGTTTGGGGTTTGTGGTTTGGGGTCAGGGTCTAGGGTACGGGGCTTAGGGAGGGTCGCAGAACCCCTAGATTGTAGAGAAGATTCCCGGTCATTTAGCCATTATATGTTCGTGGTATCGAATCTCCGATATCCCACATGAAGGTTCCTTGGCTCTGGAACATTTTGGGCTTCCGGCCGTTTCGGGGTTGGGCCTTGCGGATTTGGGGCTGGCGTTTAGCAATGTCTTGATGTTCTGTTTTACGAAGCTCTCCCAGAATTCCTCGGTGGCCTTGCCCGAGGAGGCGGCCACGGGGGTGCCAACCTTGGATAGTTGGGGCTGTAGGGTTTAGGGCTTGTGGTTCAAGGGTCTAGGGTTGTAGGGTTCAAGGGTCTAGGGTTTCGATTTTCGGGGTTTCGGCTTGAAGGGTTCAATGTTTAAGCTTTAGGGTTTAAGGTTTGAGGGTTGGAAGTTGTAGGGTGTAAAGGTAGTTCAGGATTTGGGTTGAAAATCAAAACGTGCTAAAGCTATGGGTCTCAGGGAATGTTGAGGGCTGGGTTCGATGACCAAGGGGAGTTTCCGAAAACTAATGGATCCCGGAGATGGACCTGAAATGGTGCAGGATCCTGATAGAAAGCCCCACCGGATTCAGGCCGAATGAAGTTTTGAAAGGAAGCCATAAGCTAAGGCCAACAGCACTCCAAGTTGCAAAGCATAACTTCTGCCTGCATGCCTTAAGCTCTGAACCCGCGGCCCTGAGCCCTTGAACTAAGCGTAAAGCAAACCCTGGAACCCAAACCCCTCAGCCCTTAAACTAAGCCAGCTGCCGTCTGCTTCACCACCCGTGCGCCCGAAGCAGCGTCGGCGGCGCTTTGGGCCTGCCCAGTCGCCGCCACCAAGGATCCCGGCGTGGCCGTGGCCTTTTGTCGACTTTGGCTGTGACTGGTGGGTTTGGAGGTGAGCTCGTTTCAATTTGGGGTTATGGCTGTGGATATAAAAACCTCATAAAACCCTAGGAGCACCCCAACAAACACAAAACATGACATATAAGCCCCTAAGCCCGTATTAACCAACCCTGTAAACCCTTAAACAACCACATAGCAAAACCACCAAGAAAAAAACAAACGCCTATCACCCCAAAAAACCTCTAAACGAAGAACTCCACCAAAAGCACCCAATAACCCAATATGGGGGCCCATTTTGGCGATTCCTTATTATATTCACAGTATGATGTACACCAAACCCTATTCAAATTATTCAGGCCCCCATATCATACTACACTTATAGACTTATAGATCCCTTATAGTGACCCTTTTGGACCCCTGTAAAGGAACCCCTATTCGAATGACGAAGGCCCCTATATCACCCTCTTCATGCAAGTCGCCCGTCGGATGGGGGAAGATCCACCCGAGGCCAGGCCCGCAGGTACGGACTTCTTCACCTTTTTCGGGCTCTTGGGATTTGGGGGTGTAAGGGCTTTAGGGAATTAGGGTTTAGGCTTTAGGGTTTAGGCTTTAGGGATTGGGGTTTAGGCTTTAGGCTTTAATGAGTAGGGGGTGTAGGGACTTAGGCATGAAAACAAAAAGCAGAGTCACCGTGACCGAGACGGTGCCGTGGGAGCTCGGCCCCCGCCGAACCATGGGCCCGGCAGCCGCATCTCCGCCTTGCAGCTGCCGAGGGGCTCTGAGGGTTTGGGTTTAGGGGTTTAGGACTTTAGGGCCTTGCTGTTTAGGGATTTAGGGGTGTAGGGGTAGATGATTTAATTAGGGTTTAGGGTTTAAGGGTTGGGGGTTCAAGGCGTCTCCACTGGGTTCTTGCTAAGGAATTTTGTTTAAGCCACCATAATAGGGAAACCATTTTTCCTGTAGATCCCTACTATGGTAACTTTAACAAATTAAGTTCTGAACAGGACCTAGAACTCACTCAGTCTAAGTAGTCATTACAAGGATGATTTCCCAACCAGGGCTTTTCTTTCAACACGGGGCATGTTGGAGTGTCTAATTTTCGTAGGCCATGATTCCGTCTTACCACTAAGATCGGAACATCCCACCCAACATGAAATGTTTGGGCGCTTTGGGGATTCATGATTACCAGCCTCCCAGGGGTGCGTAGGAAGACATGGCGGGCGCCACCAGCATCGAGGCCGGTCCAGTTTGAACCAGCGTGGTACTCGAACGACTGGATCGGAGAACCTGCTGCCCGAAACCGGGTCTCCGCTGTAGGCCCTTTAGGGTTTAGGGTTTATGGGTTACCTGCATTGCTTCTACATAGCCAGAACCTAACTTGAATTGTAGCCGGTTGTCCGGTCGTCTTGCTTCCTTATGGCCGGAATCTAACTTGAATTCGAACCACGAAGCTGTCTTCAACAACGGCCTACATTACATTGATGATTTACATGGGACTTCAGGCCAGCTACAAGCTGCTTGCTTGCAGAAGCCTGCTTCGGTAAACGTGCCCCCGCGGGCAGACGCCTTTATAATTTCAATAGGGTTTTGGGGCCCAGTAGACGATATTTCTCATCAGGAACCCCCAAAATAGCATAGGTACTAAGGCCCCTGCAGTACAGCATCAGATGTCATGCAAGGTAGTTCAGATGAGCACAACCTGGCCAAAGCCTTAGCAACAATCTCTGAACCCCCAACTAATGGGGCTGCACCCTGAGATGGACCTGCTGGATTGACCGGGAAACCTTTGCAAGGCCCTCTTTGGCACAAGGAATCTATAGATGCACAGATTGCTTCAGTGTTAGGACACGTTTGGGTCTTCCACGTCGTCAGAGCTTCATAGAACCGCCCGGCACCTGTATGGAGGCCGTCTGACCGGGCATGTGCAGCTCCATAGGTGTCTAAGTCTGCCCCTGTCGGGTGCTTTACCAGCACCTGCCAGGGCTCTAACCTCTAACTGTGCCAAAATGGCTGCGGGCAGGACACATCTGAGACCAAAAGGGCCAAGGATCCATGAATCAGCCCAGGCGAAGCCCACAGTCAAACGTGAGAGTTAAAGAACGCAAAATGCCGATGATGCCCACGCCACACATGTCTATACGGGTCGTTTTCCAAAATATGGGTCCCCTTTTCATAACAAGGACCCTAGAAACGACCCGCATGCAGAGAACTACCCATATGGTCACAGATCACCCCTCGTAGACTTTTGAGATTCTGAAACCTTCGCCATGAAGAGGCTCGGGGTTGGACTTGATCAAACTCGTCATGGCTCAAGGCGAAAATTACTCTATACGGTTTAGGGTTTAGGGTATACAGGGGCCGTAATGATTAGAATAGGGGTTTTGGGCCCCACTATACTATAACTATAGTAGGGAACCCCACCATAGTGTAGGCAATTAGTTTGCTTCCTATATTACTAGTCTTACCGTTGAGACTGCCATGGCTAGAGCATAACTGAAGCAGTATGGCTTCCAGCGAAAGTCAATCTTTACTGGTAAGGGAGTTTCCGAAAATAGGGGACCCTAATATGGTACCCTAAATAGTAGGATCCTTGTTATAAGGACTCCAAGATAAGGTACCCCCAATTTTCGGAAACTCACATATGTCTCGCATGGTTTTCTCTCATGCACTCGGCCGTCAGACCTTACTGTAGGCCGCGCGAAGCCCTATGAACAGAACTGGTTGTAAACCATTTTACATGCGGGTAGCCAGCACGACGTGATACCTGCGAAACCCAGAGTTCGACACGTATACTTCCAAAACTTTAGAACCTTAGATATTGACATAATCTCCAAAGAACAGAAAGGGAACATAGCATTGATTCCAGCTCCCATGTTGCTTTCGAAAACTTAAGAACCCCCTGAACCCTATACCCTGTAGACCCGAAACCCCCAACCCCAAACTCCAAAACACCCTAAACCCTAAACCCCCAACCCAGCCGGGGAAGTTGAGCCGTGCCTGGCCGAGTAGTTGAGCTGCCTTCGCGGCATCTCCCCTCTTGCAGGCACTCACGAGCTCCTCCGTCGAACGCAAGGTGCAGGGGTTGGGGTTTTGGGGTTTAGGGTTTAAGGGTAGGGGATCCATCCTAGGGTTTCATGCTTTGGGGGTTGACAGATTGACTTTGCGGATGCTTCAAGAGTTGAGGGATTTCAGGATGCTACCCGAATAGAACCTTAAACTTACACCTTACCCTACAAGTCCCACAAACCCGATGTTGAACAAAAACTACGACGAAGAAGAACCTATCTAGATCCCTGTGAGACATTCAAAAACCTTCAACACCCTAGACCCCCCTACAAAAACCCACAAAAGAGCTCCTCCGTCTGGCGTGGTCCCAGCATGTCCTGCCGGGGCACCGGCATGAGGCGCCCCTCGAAGGAGGGGGCCAGATCCTGGGTTCAAAAGATACTGCTGATGGATAAAATCCTGCATGACTCTAAGGACTCAAAACTATGGGAACTATGGTATATTCCTTATAATGGGTAATGCAGGATTTTGTCCATCAACAGTATCTAGGGCGTAGGGCTTGGATTCTGCAGGGTCTCGTAAGGGTTCCATCAGGGGTTCAACAAGGGTTGGATGAGTTCTCTGAAGGGTTCTGAACTCTATATGGCGTCAGGGGTTTAGGTTGTCGGTTTGAGGGTGTACAGTGTCCGGGCTGAGGATGTGGGGAGTTGGCGTTCAGAGTCAGGGGTTTGAGGTTTGGTGTCTAGGTGATCTTGAGTTTTGGTAACTCTGGGGTGTAGGATTCACTGCAGAGTTCAGCGTATAGGATTCAGGTTTCAGGGCTCACGGAGTTCATGATCGGGATTTCGGGTGAAAGGCTGTAGAAGCCTGGAGACGGAGGTCTGTAGCTTACGGCCTGGGCTTCGCTCTGTGAAATTGGATTTACCTTGATCAACCCAAACTTCTTTCGGACAGTACTAGTACCTATATATATATATATATACACATATAGAAACGGATAGTCATTGTATCGTCTATGTCAGGGTTTTTAATTGTCTATGTCAGGGTTTCTAATATGAGCATACAACAAAGTAGATTACGGTACTTTAGGGTGGCAGCAAAAAAAACCGAGACCCCGACTTCCCGATCGATGAGGGGGAAGTCATTCCGGGGCAGTGGACGAACTGTGCCGACGTTCCGAAGCGCCTGCCGTTGTTTGCTTGAGGCTTCTTGGGCTTACTGGGGGCCTTTATCAATGCACTGCGTAAACCCCAAACCCTAAAACTGAAGCCCTAAACCCTAAACCAACGAATGGAATAGGGCTCGTGGGGTAGAGTCTAGCATGACAACAACTGCTGATTGAGAGAGAGAGAGAGAGAGAGAGAGAGAGAGAGAGAGAGAGAGAGAGAAGAGAGAGAGAGAGAGAGAGAGAGAGAGAGAGCGAGCGAGGGAGGGAGGGAGGGAGGGAGGGAGGAGACAAAGGGGAGGGAGGAGACAGAGGAGACAGAGGGAGGGAGGAGTGGGTGGTGGATCGGGTGCCTTCAGGCCTAGGAACTCAAATAAGAATCTGATATGGTATTCATAGCAACAATATATTGCAGTATAATATAGCAGGATAACCTAGTATAATCCAGTGTAGTGTAGTGCAGTGTAGTATAGGTTGGTATATCGAAAAATACAGTATAGGAGAAAAAGATGACATAATTTAGAACAATAGCCCAGCCCAAGGAAGAAGAACCAAAACTGCACACACAAGAAGAGGAGGGTTCTGCGAGACTTCGAGTTGGAAGGCTTAGGGCTTTGGGAGGTCAGGGTTTCCTAAACCCCCCAAAGTAAGTAAAATAATGGCCCAATGCACATAAAAGGCCATTATTCTACATTTACATTTAGGTTCCAGGTGAAGGTTGAAGGTCGAATGGTTTGGGGTTGGGGCCTCGGCTGCCCAAACTCTAACATGACAGCGCCTGGGAAAGAGTTGAAGCCCGACTGGCCTCCCCGCACCCCCCTAAACCCTCCACAGCAACCAGGGAATCATGGAAGAGAAGGACATTCACCTCAAGCTCAGCACCGAAGCCCCAAGTTCCAGCAACTCTGTCGCCTGCTGGTAATGTACGGCGTGGTAGTAATCGATCTCCTGCACGGCTTTCGGGTTGAAAAGTTCGACGGGGAGCACGTGTCGGCTTGGGCCGAGGAGTGCTGCATATGACGAACAACCGGCCGCTAAACATCTCAACATGCGGGCTCTCAGATCTGAACGGCACAGCCTTCTTGCTGCACGTATCAACGGCTATTGCGTGCCAAAGTTGTTATTTGAGGGCCTTTTCTGTCGCACGAGCTCCAAAGCCCTATTCGGTGCCAAGGTTTGGGGTTTCGGGTTATGTAGCTTCAGGGTTTTGGTTCCTCATTCCCTCGAATAGCCGCTCTTCAAGACCCAAGGCTCTCAATTAAGCAAGACACCAGCCTGGTCGTAAGCCAGAAGCCGCTCCATATGGTTGTGCCGCTTCGTGACCTCGGCTGTTCCGACTCTTTGCCATTGTTCCAGTTCATGTCGTTGATTTACATTAGGTTCTGGTTCACCCTTGCGCAGAGCCAACATCTGCTATCTCAAAGGCGAGCAGCGTTGTTGTCGTCGATCTGACTGCAGTCAAACATGGCGTCGCAAACTCCTTTCGCCGACTCCTCGTAGCCATACCTGCTCTACAGGCAACCGCCCTTGAAAAGCATTACCTGTATGCCCTACAATCCTGCATATCTCGAGCCCTAAACAAAGTCCTGTAACTTCCATGCCCCGCCCCCCTCCCGCCCTAAAAACGAAAGCAAGCTTAACCCTTTTTTAGCTTCAAGCCCCCTAACCCTAAACCCCGATAAACCCCTAAACCCCCCAACCCTATAACCGCCTATAACCCTCATAGCTTTAAGTTTAAAGTCCCCTGCCCTGCCTGGCCACCAAGGGCTTCTGGATCTCCAGGAGCAGCTGCTCCCGCTGCTGCGCAGCCACTAGGGCCGAAGGCCCGGCACCCTGGCGCTCAGGGCGTTTAGAAAGCTAGACTGTAGGGCTCCAATTACCTAAATAGTAAAATACTAGTCATATGTTATGTACCCTACCAACCTACGAAGCTCATGTAACAGCACCCCGATGTTGAAAGCTAATGTAGGAACCTGACTAAGAAACCTTGGGCCTCTATGAGGGTTCCTTATATGAATCCTACTACTTTGGGGTTATGGGCCCCGGGTTTCTTAACCAGGTTCCTACATTAGAGGATCTCGGGTTCCTAGAATTCCGTTAAAGAAGGGATATTCGCAAGGCTTGTATAAGGGGTTCTAGAATTTAGTCGGGGGTCTCTGATGGTTCTATAAGGCATTCTAAGGCGGCATCATGCTCATCAGCAGGGCAGCGCTTTGGTCAGTACCCGCATTGGCCAGCACGTGCATCGCTGTTTTTGCGATGTAGCTAGCCCGTGACCTCAAATGGAGATCTGACTCATGACCGTAAACAGCGTACAAGGTGGGGCAATACAAGCCTGAACCAGCAATTATCCTTGGAGAAATTCAAGACCGCCGAAATACTCCACACACGACACGATCCTTGCGAACTCCTGAGCCCTAAAGCCTAAAGCCAAGCCCACCTAATATCAAAGCCTATACAGGGACAGCGCAGAAAAGGGGCGTTCATGCTGGTTAGGGTAAACCGTACTTTTTTCCCAAAACCCTGAACCCTAAACCTCCCAAAAATACCCTGCTTGCTCGGCTCCTTCATCTGGCGTGCGAGGTTCTGGAGTCGGGCGAAGGTGGAGTTCTCGGCGTACGCCTTTTCGGAGTCGGGACTGTGGGCCTGCAGGGTTTAGGGTTTAGGGAACTCAGGATCTAGAGCGCCTAGAAGAGTTCAGGAAATTCGGCTCATAAAAGTTTAGTGAAAGTTTAGGATCTAGGTTCTAGAGCGCCTTGCAGA